TTCTGCTGTCTGGTCTACTACTGCTGTGCTTATCTGTCAAAACCCTATTTTAAATATGCAGAACTCATGCATTTACTTGAACTTTGCTAACAGTTACCCAGGTCTGGGGGACTGAGTGATACCAGTAAGTAGTTAAGTAGTAAGAGTGAAAATCAAGTTCATGCCGTGTTAAGTTCATGTAAGAGTTGATGAAGCACAATGGAAGGTTCACAGAATTGGGTATTTGAACCCTTGATCTCTCTCTGACAGATTTCCATGGGCCTAAATAAGTCAGTTGCTTGAAATCTAACTTTACTCATAAAATGGAAACAATATGTCTTAGACTTGGGAATTACTGGAGGATTATATGATACAACTGGGGAGAGATACAACTTGGTGGATGGTAAAGCGCTGTTTCAATGTTTCATTCTTTTTGTAATACTGTTTTCAGAATTTCCCCCAGACTCTCTCATCAAATAATTCTACCTACAAGAAGCTTGAGAAACTTCTCTGAAGGAACTTGGACAGAGTGATGACGCTGCAGCATCAGCTTCCAGGCCTTGGAGGACTCATCTCCTTCACAGTCACCTGTTTCGTCCAGGACTGTCCTGCCGTGATCCCTGCCATGATCTGTGTCCTGACACATTGTCTGTGCCTGACCAAAGGAAGCCATCACCACACAACCACAGGGCATCTGAGAGATTGGGGACAATCTTAAGTTAAAAAAGTAGACATTGGCCGGGTGTTGGTGGAGCACACCTTTAATCCCAGCACTCGGGAGGCAGAGCCAGGTGGATCTCTGTGAGTTCAAGGCTAGCCTGGTCTACAAAGTGAGTTCCAGGAAAGGCGCAAAGCTACACAGAGAAACCTGTCTCGAAAAACAAAACAAAAAAAAAAAAAAAAAAAAAAAGTAGACGTTGTCACAGTTTTACTAGAACAACCGAAAAGCTTGAAGTGCAGCTTCCAGGGAAGGGCAGTAGAAGACGATGTTAGTTGTTGGTTATTGTGCATCTTGAGGTGTGTGAAGTACCCCTGCCAGAAACACCCCATATCCCACCCCACATCCCACCCCAGGGAGCTCCATCCTTCCTCTAATTCCTTCCAGTTTTTATTCAGCTCTCTTTCCTTTCATCTTGTGTCTGTGGCTTATTGAGTCTTACCAGGTCCTTGTGTTTAAGACTGTCCCTGTATTCCTGCTGTTCCTGAAGTAATTACAGCAGCAACCAAAATCCATTATTACATTTACAAGACACCGACTGTCCACTGTTGCTAATTCTCAGCACCCATTCTTAATGAGACATGAGGGGAATCTGAATGGTTTCCTGCTCCAGATAGTTTAAAGAAAATAAATTTGAATCCTAGCTCTTCCCCCCACCCATCAAGATTCCAGTAAGAGAGTGGAGATGTTCTAAAATGGGCAAAAGTTAGGATGAAATTTATGAACATAATGGTTAGTTCTCAAGAATCTCTGTATTTGAGACCAACCACCCTATAAAGTATAGATTACTGTTCTCCTATTCCCTTTTATGAGTACCCACATTACGGTTATTAGATTTGGGGACTCATCTGAGCCCACAGGAAGCTGGTCAGGGTGGCACCTGGGATTGAAGTGACAAGTCCATTTATAGAAACGTTCCCAGGGACTTCTCTGCCACAAAAGATAATGAGTCTCAAAGGAAAGTGACAAAAAGATATTCTCATTTTGAGCCTAAGGAAGGAACATGGCTTTCCATGAACAAAAACAAATTTATTCACATAAATGTGTAAAAATAATTTTATCTTTTAAAGGCATGTATCTCAACAAATCATTACCTTTGAAAGTATGATGAAGTAAGGGAGTATTTAAATAAATGATGATTTGAGAGAAAAGCCTGAGCATCGAAAGTAGTAAAATAAAGCAAAATTAATTTACCTTTGTCTCTAAGTGTGTTACTTCCTCTGTTCTAGAGCAGGCGCTCAATTTAAGACCAAGACCCAAGAGATTTCAAGACTTGGATTACTTTGTAATGATATTTTCAGTCATCACACTGCCCTTTTTGACTGTGCATTGAAATAAATTGTCAACCAATAAACCTGAATTTCTTGTTACTTTTTAGAAAGCATTGGTAATATGGCACCTAATCTAAATTATGCCATATCTAGGCAGAAGAGCTGAGCAGGTAAGATGACAACAAGAAGTTGTATTTCTGAGGTAAGGGTCCTACTTATCACTGGATGCTGTACGGTTATCCTTCCCTTTCATATAGCTGCATATAGACATATTTTCTAATGCAGACAACTTAGATTCACTGTTGACTTCAGGAATAGAACAGAGATGCCAGTCAGTGTGAACAGCTGCATACTTGGGCAGTTTTATAATACCTCCCATTTATTTGGGCCTTAGTTTGTTCATTTTAAAAGTCGGTATGCACAAGACAGGGAATTGGTAGGAGGGGAAGCTACACTAGTCAGTGAATGACCTGTCGGCAGCTTGGAGTTGGTTATGGAAAGAGTATTTATGCCATGGAAATGGGCAAAAGTGGCAGAGCGTGTCCTCTTGTGTCCACAGCATAGCCCTGGTGCTCACAGACACCTGAATAAAGAGGTCTTTAGAGTTTTGTGAACACAGATTTGGACAACCTAACACCCTTTCCCTCTTTCTCTTGTTCTCTTTTTATTTTGCCCCCCTCCCCTTTTTGGCCCAAAAGAAACACCAAGGGAGAGGTATAGGACCTCTCATTACAACACTTAATTTTAAGTTCTTCATGTCTCTAATCCTCAAAGTTTGATCTTTGCTATGACCAATCTTCTCTTGCTCCCTTCTTTTTCTCTACTTTCTCTGAGATATATTTTTCATTTATTATAAGCAGCATGCAATACTTTCTATACAGAATATTGTTTTTCACAAGACAAAAGAACGTAAATACACACAGTAAAATGGAAAGTCTCCTCTCCACTGCTTTTTTCAAGGCAGATCTTCCCATGTTTTAGGGTCATAATGTGTATTTGAACCCCTAGAAAGGTTCCAGACTGAGTTGGAACATAGAAATGGTTCTCGTGGGCACCAATTAACATGTAACTTTCATGTCTGTTTTTTAGAGGCTGGTTTCAGGACTAGTTGGACTAATAGATTTTTAAGAAAATATGAAGTTATGAAATTATACTAAGTAGGTGCCTCCAGAAATGGCCATTATTTCATATCTAGATGAATCACATCATGAGCAGAGACCCAATGTGGGGCATGCTTGTGAAGTGAAGGCAAAGGATTCTGGTAGGTCGCTTAAAGACTCACTCACATTATTTTCAAGTAGTAAGACACTCAAATCTCTTTTGATGAGTATATCTAGAGACATATGCATATAGAAGATTTTGTGAAATTTCAAGAAATGTAATGCTGTTGGTCAATGTTCTAGAAATGAAGCTTTTATATTATGTCTTTAGAGGTAGAAAACCAATGGCAATTCTCATTAAGAATTAGTGATATTTAAAGATCCATGTATAGATAGATCACTAACTGACATAGTTTCAGAGTGCAGAGAAGAAAGCTGGGATCTGTGTTGAAGCTCAGCTTTTTACTTTAACTGATCCTGTTTATTAATTTAAATTATTTTTGCTGTACATTTGCAGGTTTACGCCCAGTGCTTCAGCTAGTGTTAAATGAATATTTGAAAATTAATTCATTTTAAGGACAATTTATTCAATTAGTCATTTTGGTTTGTTGTCAGAGAGCCTTTCATTTAGAGACACAGGTTACTGAAAACAGTTTGGACATACACAGTTTATTTTTCTGAGAGATATGATCTCATTAGAAAGAAAAATATAGATGTAGCAGTGTCTCCTCTTAAGGGTTAGACTGGAGATCTTGTTAGCACTGCTTGGGTTATGCATCGTGATAATTGTTGTTAAAATAAGGTGTGATGTTAAGAGACTAACGCAAAGCATAAAGTCAAGGCAGAGGACGACACGGATTAAAGGAATTACTGAACTCTTATTCCAGGACACATGGATAAATCTTAAAGATGGCCTTCTTTAAACTCACCCTGTGTCTTATTGAAGTCTGCAATAAAAAACCCAGTCTGGTCTCAATGTGCTAAAGGCTCCTGCTGAAAGGGTGTTAGACTGAGAGACTCCAGTGGTGGGCTGTAAGTGACACATGCATGGAACTGTTAGCAATTAACCTTTTTCTCCTTCTCAGAGTTCACAGAATTCCCGAGGGATTTGGTCCACAGGAAACTAGACTCAGCTTTCTTCTTCTTCTTCTTCTTCTTCTTCTTCTTCTTCTTCTTCTTCTTCTTCTTCTTCTTCTTCTTCTTCTGAGGAGCAAATGTCTTTTGTAGAAAACATTGACTGCTGACCAATTTAAAGATAAAGTTGAGAAAAATTTGTGTGATATCACCATCCACTGGTTAGGTTAGTGGTGAAAGCAGCTGGCATAGAGGAACGCTGGGGAGACCAACCTGAGAACATAATCACCGACTCAAGCTGAAATCCAACTCACAACGAACAGACCAAATAAAACGTTACCAACCATTACTGTTAGAAGCCAGGATAAGCTAGGGTGATTTTCAAATTATGTTCAAACACTCCTAAAGGGTACATTATAGATTCTCACTTCTTTGGAGGATGGGTATATATGACATGCCAGTGATGTTGTGTCAGGGAAACTTTCATCCCCCCCACTCCGTTTTGTTCAAAAAGAGGTAACTCCAGCAGAAGGAAAATGGTTTCTGCTATGAAAATAGAATTCTTTTCAGGAAAAGAAACATTAAAAACTGAAATGAGCTGAATTCCTGTGAGCAGGAAAAATTATTTGTTGAAGTTTCCACTTAATTTTGTGACCTACAATCAAATACAGTAAGTAAACTACACACGTTTACTGAGTAAATAGCAAGTAAGCAAATGCACACGTCAGTTTTTAAACTGGAGGGGGTTAGAGAAGCCAGTGAGCAAGCAGAAAAAAATTCAAAGATGGCTAAGTCCCTTTTACAGCATACATTTATGAATTCAATTTGCAAAGCACATTAATATTGCTATTCTTTTTATTTTGTATAGAATGCTTCATGAATTTGTGTGTTACCCTTGCCCAGGGGCTATGCTATTCTTCTCTGTATTGTGCCAATTTTAGTGCATGTGCTACTGAGGAAGGTACAATACTGCTGTTTTTTATAATAAACATAGTCCTTGGGTAATACTTGTGATCTTACTTTACGGTCCCCATTTATTCCCAAACTTTTACTTGCCTCATTGATGAGAATCTATTAGTGCCATAGAATGTTAGAGAAACGTAGCTTCCAGGAAAGTGGTTATCCCCAATTCTTTGAAGGACCAGGGTACTGCAGAATTCCTTCTTTCTCCACTCTTTCATGGATACCACTTCTCCAGGTTCCACTTTTTATTTGCAGTCTTGTTTCCTTTTGTATCCTCAAGCTGAGTGGTTGTATGCCATCTTCCCAGATCACCTGCAGTGGTGGGGAGCCTGTATTCATACCCAGCTTCATGTCCAGCAGCAGAGCTGAGAACAGCAGCCCTGGCCGAGAACCCCACTGTTCTTCTGTCCTTGGAGCTTGGGCTTGGCTCTCAGCCCCCTCCAGGGGATTTAGCTAGCTCATCTCTAAGGTCATGTTCAGTTCTATCTATGAATCTTGGTATTTCTTATGCGTTAACAGCAGAACATGCAACCTTCCTTTTAAAGATCTGGCTATTTGACAGTCCAGGTGGATAGAAGGAACAGTAAAGCTGTAGGCCATTTCTGAGGAGGTTGCCATGGCCAAGAGCAGACGTGGGTGGTGACTGATCCCCGGGGCTCCTGTAGAAAAGCTGTTTTCCTGTGCTACCTTTTCTGGGGCAGGGGCCTTAGGGCTGATCTGCTGTCTGGATCACACACTGAAAAGATTATGATGCCTTCTTTCCCCAATTTGGTGTGTGCTTTAAAATTAAACCATTTCTTTAACATGAAAACAACAAATTTAAACAGCTACTAAAATAATATTACAGGGTGATTTTTAAAGTTTTTTTTTATCGCTAAGAAGTTTTTCTGATTGTAAAGTTTTGGATGTGTTGAGGGAAGCCTAAATTTGGTTCCTGTTACTGTTACCTTTTGGGTCTTTAAGCTGACATTGAACATGGGTCTTAAATTCCCTCTCTTCATTAAAAAAATGCTAACTCTGTGGTTCTATCACTCAAGTGTGCAAAACTGTGAGTCTGAAAACCTGCCCCCAAGTACCCAGCTCTAGCCATGGGTTAACCCCACTGAGCTCTCCAGTCTCCGTTCTGTTTCTGTGCTCTGTGGTGTTCTCAATTGGTCTAGGGGTTCACCAGACACTTTTCTATCAGTAATTCCAGAAAGCTCCCTCCAAGTCCACCCTGGATGCCCCTCAACACCCTACTTCCTCTCTTAGCTCCAACCACCAATTTCTACAATGTTCTTTCATGTAATTCACAGATTTTTGCAGCACTTCCGGCTCTCCCTCTTCCGTTTGCTCAGCTGTCACTGACCGCCTCCTGTCTTTTTTTTTTTTTTTTTTTTCTCCAAGACAGGGTTTCTCTGTGTAGCTTTGTGCCTTTCCTGGATCTCGAGCTCTGTAGACTAGGATGGCTTCGAACTCACAAAGATCCGCCTGGCTCTGCCTCCCGAGTGCTGGGATTAAAGGCGTGCGTCACCACCGCCTGGCCACCTCCTGGCTTTTATACTTCGTCAGTTCACGCACGCGTTTGCTTAGTAAACCGTGGCTGCATCCTCCTCAGGCACTAGGCCCACTATCGGGGATCACAGCACCACCAGCTCTGCCTTCACGGAGCCTGTAGAGAAGGATGACTGAAATAGCTCTTGCACCTTCCTCCACTCCATCCCCTCACCTGCCAGTCCCTTGGGTCCGCTCTTCTAGCTGGTGCTGATGTTGGTCTTTTGATCCACTTTACATACGGGATTGTCAGACTTCCTGAGACACATAGTTGATCACGTCATATTTTGGGCTCAAAGACCTTCAGTAGCTCCCTGCTCTCCACTCCGAGGCAGCCTGTTATAGCGGCGGGGAACGCAGACCCCAAAGCCTGAAGGCTGGGTCCTACTGTGAGAATTAGGTAGGCTTGATTTGATCTCTGAGCTCCTTGAAATTCACCCAACTGGAGTAGTAGTTTCCTAGGTCTTTGTCTTCTTGTCAGTGGGTAGGTCGGGATGGTGATAATAGCGAATCATTTTAAAAGCCCTTTCTACCTTTATTTACTATTTACTGATTTTGTGTATCTTCTGAACCCCGCCCCCTTTTCAGACTCAGGGACTTCAAGCTTTGGGATACTGTTTCGCACACATACAGGAGATTTCTAAAGAACATAGTAACATTTTTCTAGAGAGTGCTGCTTACCCCACCCCCATGAAGTTGGGAAATCTCTTTTGACTTGGCCCTGGGAGCAGATAGCTCAACAGTTCTCTGCTGTTTAATCTCTTGGTGTGAAGCCAGTTGCCTTGATAGCCGTTAGCTACTGCCCACGCTGGGCTCCTGTTGAAGTCAGCACCGCGGCGGTCAGACGGAGAATCGGGGCAGCTCAGGACCACTGCTGCTTCGTGTTATGGCTTCAAGAGCAAGCTCATCCTCTGTTGCACAGTGAATATCAGGGCAGGTGAGAAAGTAATTACTCGTTCCCAAGTTGGGCTCTGGCCACTGGCCTTTGTCACACTGGTTTCCCTGCAACATCCAGCGGAGGATCACGAGGATCACAAGCGAGGCTTGCTCTGTGTAAGAGGATTCTGCCTTAATGTCCTAATGCTTCCTTAGCATTGCTAAACGTTCAGGGAACAGAAGGGGCACATTTGGCATGGTTAGCCTCTGAAGCACTGCTGTTTAAGAATAGCTGTTTTTATACATGAGGCAAATATGGTTGTGAATATATCTAGATTTATATTAGAAAAACACTCTATGATCCCAGAACGGATGTATGCAAGCCCACTGACATTATCCCCTCTCTTGGAAGGTTCTGTGACAAATTTGTTGTTGAGTTATGGTCATCAGAGCCACATAAGGAAAAGCATGGAAAAATGATAGTCTGTTGTATATTACCATGATGCTCCTGTGTTATTCAGGGTGATTATACTGATTCTGAAAGTATATCATGTTGACTACCAGCTTAAGTATTACACACTGCTGTGGCCCCTCTGTGACCTTCACAGCTATGGAGTCTGCCTGCTGGCTTCACGGGCCCTTGTGTGCAGAGAAGAGTATGATGGGGGAGATAATGAGGAAGATTCTCAATCTTGTAACATTACATTTGAGATTACACACTTGAAGTTCACGGCTGTGCACCAATGGACAGTTTGGTGCCAAAAAAGAAAAGAATATTGTAGGGGAGGAGTCTGCTACATAGCTTATATAGATTTTGGTGATTTCTTTGTAAAATCATGCTTTATAAACCATGTCCACATTGTTTAGAAAATAATCACTTGCTTTTAGTGGAATATTATTCATGTTAGCCATTTTGGTGGCTGCTGTGAATAAATGAATAAATCAAGTGCTAGGAACTTCCTACTTGCCCAGTGGTTTCATTGGCCTCATTTTCCCAGATAAAAGTTAGTTTTAAAACAATCCTAGGCATCTTCTATCTCCACATTTAACAATACCTCGCCAATATAGGTTGTTAGCATTCTTCCTTAGGTGAGTATGAATATTTATAAAGCATAGAGAACAGTGTCAATCACATGGTAAATGTTCACCAGAATAAGTAAATGCAAAAGTTAATGAACTAAAAATGAAAATCGCCACAATGATGTTGGGGGGAAAATGGTCTAAGTTTGACATTTTCAGTATCCCACACATGAGGTGATTTTAGGATTTGCAGGAAAGGAATGAGATTTTACACAGATGGATAAGAGTCAATAATTATGTTAAAAATACAAATCTGCCTCACACAAATCATTCAAGCTTATTGTAGAAAATACATTTGAATATAGATTGAAACAAAATTCCACTTTCCAGAACCATCATCTTAATATTTTGTTGTGCATTTTCCCCACATTTCTCTTCTGTGAAATATACATATACATACAGATATATACATATATAAAAATATATAAAATGTTCAATATATAACTGTGATATATGTTAAGTATATAACGTATATGTTAAATTATACATGTGTGTCTATTCAATTATGCTTAAAAATAAACATATGTATGTATACATATTTAAATATTTTTTTAGCATCTTTTTTTTTCTCATTGACTAAACAAATGCCTACAAGCAGTTTAAATTATTGCTACACTGGTTACCGTGGGGCAGACCCTGAGCTGTGTGTTTGTTCTATATGTGTTGCTTTGTTTCATCCTTACAGCTCCAAGGTAGCTATCATTGTGTTTACTTTATAGAGGTGAATCTGAGGATTACACGAAGGAATTTATCAAGGCCACACAGCTGGTGTCTGACCTGGAATTTGAATCCACTATGCTCTGAATCACTGGGCTTTATGGTAGACATTTCCATGGGCTAGGATAATAATTCATTACACTTATAGTATTAAGGGTAACATCTTCACCAAAAGTATATAGATCAGGCACCATGAGCTACAAAGTGCATTCAACACATTTTCTTTATAGATTTTGGTAGGTTCAACTAACTGGCTGAAATTTCCTCAATGTGAAAATAAAAAGATCTGGGTTTGTGTTCTCTCCTGCTTTGAACCAATTGCAGGGCTGACATTTGGCACTGCTCATCCATCAGCTCCCCTTTGTTGACTGTGAATAGAAGAGGATAGGGCCAGGAGCCATTTATTCATATGTAATGAACTGAACGTGTTTGAGGAGGCAAGTTAGGGACTAAGATAAGAAACAGAGCGAGGTCTATCCCTTTCCTTAAGCCGAGCCCCTTACAGAGCAAGACTGCTGGGCTTCAGGGTGCAGTGTGCTTTGAACCAGTGTGAAGTTGCTGTTGATGGAACCAGAGGGAAGAGAGACGCTTCCTTCTTGCACTTCCTGTCCTGAAATTCTGAGATGACAAGCCCAGATGCAGGGCCTGCTTGAACACTTCATTAGAGGAAATTGAACTGACAATATGATGTTAGTTACTTGGCTTATTATGGGGGGTGAGCAGCATACATTCTGTATGTTCTCAGTTAGCTTATTGTAAATGAAAAAATAATCTGGGCCTGGAAGAATAAAAAAAA